CCACAGATCAGGCAGGGGGCACAGCTAGGCGTACAGCCCCGGCCCGAGTCGGCCCTTGCAGCCTTGCCCCGGGGCAGCACTTCCGGCGAGACCGGGGAAGCCTCGCTTCGATTCTTACTCCCGTTGTGGAGGTTTGCAAAGTCCCAGCTGCGACGCGGCAGGGGATCGATGTACAACGTGTGGTTCGGAGGTGGGCTGGCAGGGCCGAGCGAGAAATGGTGAACTACTGCGGGTTGCTACCATACGCGGGGGTAGCAGATCTCTGCGGACCACGACAGCTGTCCAGGATGACACCTGCGGCAGTAGCTGTGAATCGGGTCTTGGAAACGGAAAACAGGCCACCATGCACAGCTCCCTGCGCTGTCAGTGGCATGTTCAGAGTCGGGCTGGCTAGGGGGGCACTTCACAGTACCAGGCAGGAAACGCGCACTCTGCTCCACGGGTGAAAACCACCTCGACTGTGTGTGCGGGGAATTCGGTAACATAAACTCGGTTAAGCTCAAGGGATGATTTTTAACCAGTGCTTGGCGTCGCCCGAGCCTGCTGCTTTCCCAGCCCTGGGGAAGGGTGGCTGATGGTTGGGAGCCCGGCGCCTCGCCTCCCGACTGCGCAAGTCGGTCTAATAAAAGCAGTTGCCTCACCGTGCAAATCTCGCTCTTCCCTGGGGTAAATGGCATTAAAACAGGCAGTTAAATTTACTGGGCTTTGCAGACTGGTTGGGAAAGCTCATGGCTTACTTCGAAGTGGTGCCATGAGCATGTTGCTGGAGGGGTAGGGAAACGAGGGCTGGGGAGCACCAAGGTCAGACACAGCGTAGCTCCTGCGTGAGAGTCCGGAAATCCCTGGTGATTTTTTGTCTTTTCTGTCTGTGCTGGAGCTGCCCACTGAGCATTACAGGGCGGCCCAGAGCAGGTGTCCGGGACCTACAAGACGTGTCACGGTGACCTGTGGTACCCAGGAATGAAGAAGCACCTTGTTGTAGGAGATGGTATTGGAGTGACGTTGTAGCTGTGATGGTTCAGGAACTATGTGAGGCACCAGGATTTTTGTGGGTGATGTTTGGGATGAAGTTAGCCAAGCTTTCGAATGCATGCCATTCGACCTAATGGAGAATGAAGGATGCCTTGCATTCAAACACTTGTCTGACTTCACCCGCACCGTGCAGTTGGTCCAGTATTGCCTAGGAAAATCTTTGATGTAGGAAACATTTCTGAAACGTGGTGGGACAGCAGCCCAATGGGGTGCTGTCCTATCTGGCCATAAATGACGTGTGAAGGCTGGACTAGCTTGTGGGAGCAAGGTCAACTGCTAGAGGCTAATGAGCTTGTTTTGCAGCAGAGCTTGCAGAACAATCTGTAGAGATGCAAACGGGAACTAGAAATACAACCAGGATTAGTTTCTTCTTCCAGGCTGGAGGAGGCATGAGGTCAACAGAGGCCTCAAACACTAATAAAAGTGACCCTGGTGACTTGAGCTGTTTGTCAGTAATACGGGCCTCGACCAGCCTGCGGCGCTGCTCAGAGAAGCGGTATGGCAAGACCTTGAACCTCTTACTCCTGCAACAGCCAAGTCCAGGTTCTGCACAACGCTGTGCTTCACGTGGACCTGAGGCATGCAAACTGCGGCACTGCCAGCGCTTGTACCCGACCTGCTATGGGGAAGCTCTTGATTGTCTGCCTCAAGGCATCTGGGTTTGGGGATGGCTGAGGTGGACCAGGCCCAGGTGTCTGTGGCCACGCTGCTCGCTGGTTGTTACGCTGGGGAAGTGTTTTCTCCCAGGTCAGGAGCCTTTTCCCCTTCCCCTGTAGCAAAGGGCATGGATCATTTCTCAGGTAATCAACTCCCAGCTATTGCAGGGCCTTCAGCAACGAGGCTGTAGCTGTTCTTTTCCTTGGGCCCCCAGTTAATCTGAGAGCTGAAATGCTTCTCCAGGCTAGCAAAAATCTTTGGCTTTCAGACAGAGGTAAGTGAGCAAAACGTGGCAGTCGAGGCAGGGTACCGGGCTGGGCGAGCCTGGAGTTCCTCCTGGCTTTCAACTTTTTGAAAGCGGAGAAAAGGGAAACTTCGTGACAGAGGGATCAAGTCAAATGGGAGCCGCAGCAGCGAGACAACCGAAATCCTCCCTCTGTGCACGTAGCCATGGAGTTTATATTTCCCCTGCTATTAAGACTGAATGAATGACTAGCGGGAACTATCCTGTGGGGATGCTTGCAGCTGCCTGTAAGCCATTTCAGGCACCTCTTGCAGTCCTTGCTCCATGTGTGCAAGCACGACTGAGTTATCCTGCCAAAAACATGGCAGCACAGCCTCGGCAAAGCCCGTACCCAGAAACAAACAGGCAGCCTGGACAGCAAACCCGAACCCCGACCCCTCCCTCGCATAGTGGGAGAAGCGAGCCGGTAAGAGACTTGACAGCTCGCTGGACTAACACCAGAGAGTAAAGGGAAGAGGTGCAGGGGAAAGGGCAGGTCTCCTGAGCTCAGTCGTTTTGCTGACCCGCCAGCTCCTGCAGTCTGGCCCTAAAGCTGTTCCCTCTCCCACTGCAAGAAGCCTGCGCGCTGCTCCCCCCTGCGCAGCACCGAGATCTGCCTGGCTGGGGGGCAGACGCATGCGCCTTGTGTCGGGAAGCTTCATCCCCTGTGCATTTACCATCAGCTATTCGGGGAACCTTCCAAATCAATTTGGCGGTGACCTACTTATTCTGAAACCGGCGGCACAGCACAACGGCCGGTGTGGATTATGCGTGGAAACTTAATTGCCTCTCGTGCGCTCTCTTCATACAGAGGCATAAGGTTAGCTGCTCTCTGCTCAGCTTGCGAGATGAATGGGGAGAGGGGAACAGACTGCGTCCAGCTCTCGCAGACGGCCGTGACAGTACGTGTTTATTCATACGTTGCATTGAAAGATAAATAATTCTGAGCAATAAAGAGAAAATAGTCTGCTCCTGGCAAAAATAAATAAGGCAATGCACAATATTCATAAAATACAGGTAATGCAGAATGTTATAATACCAGATACCACCAAGTTTGCAGAGAGTTGTTTTTACATAGTAAAGAGCCGTATCGCGCACTCCAAACAAAACGGTGCCGCCGCTTTTGGTTTTTACGTGGATTCCTCGGTCGGGGTCTGGCAGAGGGCGGGAGCGTTTCACCTCCTGAACGAGCGAACGGACACACAAACGGCAGCTTTTTGAACGAGACCCTCCAGCCACCATGCACTGGTCTAGAAAACAACTGGACACACAACTATAAATAATGATGCGTCGAAACTGCTCGCATGCCAGCAATGCGCATGTGGGTTTGTTTGGTCTGAAGTGTGAGCGCGCCCAAATGGCTACGAAGCGGAGCTTCTCGGGCACCCTCCACTGTTGGGATTTTGGCAGCCAACTGTTGGCTTAGGGTTTTCTCCCTCCCAGTCCAACGCCGCCCCTTTCTGCAGAGGTCTGAACTGGCCGGTGCCTCTTCAACACTGCTGCTTTTGTCCTGTACCTGCAAGGCTCAGCTCTGAAGGCATTTGGCTGCTGCCGTGAGGACCGTGGAATAAATGTCTCCCTAGATCTAGCAAATTCCTGAATGAGGTGTGCCAGCCTGCGCGCACAGGCAGGACGGATGTGACAGTAATGCTACGAGGCAGCCTTGAAATTCAAGGATGCAGCCTTCCCCCAAGAGCATAGATTTGCACGTCCTTTCCCACATCCATCTGCATCTTCCCAGGGCAGCTCGTGGTTTGAGACTTTGGCCTGCTTAACTCACTGCTTCGAGCACTACGGAGACTTGCGCTGCAGCTGCAGAGTCTAAACACTTTCCAGGCCCAAATCCAGCTCGCCTGACTCGGGTCAGTAATCCCACAGCAGGCAGTGAGGCTACGCCTGGGAGGGAGGGGGACTGGCCTTGCAAAGGAACTTTCTTCCCAGCAACTGTTGCCAGTAGCGATGATGATGATAATAAAACTCTACTTTCCCCACCAGTATTGGCACATGGGGCGAGGGGAGGAAAGACTGGGGCAGCGAGCCAGGGGAAAGCTGAGTGAGCCGTGCTGCATCTGCCCCATGCACACGTTTCTACGCAGCCCCTCTCAGTGCTAGTTCCAGACACTTTGGAGAAAGAGGAACGGCCAGAAAGAGCCAGCCAGGGGCTTTCTTGTCTCTTACTACCTTGCTGCTATGTAAGAGTACATCTTGCCTTTCCAAACACGCGCACCCACCTGTGCAAAGGAGACTGTGGTGGGTGACGGCTGCACTGGTGTGTGTCAAACTGGGACAGTTCGAGTGGGTGGACACTCTTGCTGTCAGATTTCCCCCCAGGCATGTGACAGAGCAGCCCAGGTAGGGGCAATCTCTGCGCATGTTAGGCCTGAAGGACAGAAGCAGCCCATCCTGAAACAGAGCACTGCAAAGACGTTTCAAAACACACAGAGCATCCCCTCCCCTGTGGTTCAGCAATGCAGAAGAGCTTTGCAGTTTCCACATTTCCTTTCCACTTTCCTTCCTCACTTATTGCAGCAAAGTCTGTTCTGGTTACCGGCTCTGTGAACCCGAGCATATTGGCCCTGGCAGACAGGGCCTTACGGGGACCAAGTAGCTAATACAAGTACCACAGGTTCACCTTTAAAAGGGTGGATGAAGACTAGCAAGAAGGACAAACCAACTTGCAAAGCCAGCACTTCCTGGTACTGTGTGCGCTCTGATGTGGGACCTGCCTCTCTCTGGGGGATAGAGCTAAAGACCCTTTGAGAAGCCTTCCAGCCCTATGGTCCTGTGAACTGAACATGCCTCGCTTTCAAAGCTGTGTCCTCCGGTCCTTCTGAGGCTGGAGCCTGCTGCAGGCTTGCCAAACTTCAGCTTTGTACCTAAGCCTCTCTCCTAGTTTTCAAAAGACAGAAACAAAACAGAACGGGGACTAAAGGCCTCGGCCTGTCTTGCTGTATAACTTAGCACCAGGGAATGATACACTTCTGGTGGGAAAAGTTTGTCCTACACGTGATGCTTTTGTCGTCACCCCCCCCCCCACTTGTGATGGTAAAACTGTAGCTTGGAGGAACCAGTGCAGGGACCGGTTCATCCTTCGGCAACACACAGTCTGTCTCTGCATGAGCTAACGGGGGGTGACGGGCTTCACACTCAATCGCTCGTGGATTTTTAGCCTGTTTGAGAATGACGCCAAACCCAAGCGACTTGTACTGTGTGGCCAAAGTAAGCGAAGAGCAGATACACTCCACCGTGTAGCGCTACCAAGCGAGCAAACTCTGGTCCCGTTAATCCCGCAGCTGAAAACACTTGCAGGCATGTCAGAGCGCACTGTTGCTCCTCTCCTAGGAAACAGCCTGTGAAAGGTCATTTAAGTTGGATTCGTTCTTCCTGGAGGAGTTTCCCGAGCGCTCAGTGTTCGCCCTGGCACAGGGCCAGCCCCCGCTGGCCCACACTGAGCTTTTCAACATCCTCCTCTGAAAAGGTAACAGAAGGGTATAAAAACTGGGCCACAAAGTTCGGCTCCAAGCTTCATGTGATCTTTCGGGCTACGACTTCTGGTTCAGAAGCAAACTTAATTAAACTCCAAAAAGCCTCGGCCACCTTCCACAATGGGACACAATGGCATGGCCGTGATTTTTTTTGTTTTGTTTTCTCTCCACGAGTGCCTGAATGATGTGTGCACCTAAATCGTGGGTACCTGAACTTTTGCTAAAAGTATCTGTGTCTGCTGCTGTCCGCATTACTCATTCTTTAACCGGCCTACTTGAATCCTTCTTGTAGTCCATCTGGGGTCTATGCATGTCATCTAGTGTACATGGTGACAGTGCTATCACGTAGATGTTTAACAGCCTGAAATACAGCTACTGTCCAACTCGAGACCTGGGACAGCTCCTCTGGTGGTAAAACTGCTGTACCCCCTAGCAGCTGCTGGTATTTGCTCCTGAAAGAGCAAGTGTGGTGTCACCACTACAACCAGGAAACCGAGGGGAGCAGAGCCTCTGTAAGACCTGCTAACAACTAAGGGAAGTTTGGGGTCAAATGCAATGAAGTGAAGGCTGGCACAAGAGAGATTTGGCTACTCTGGAAACTGCCCATAGCCAGATGAAAATCAAATCCAAGGCACTTCCTAGGGGGACTAACAAAGGAAGACACCCTAACAGCCACTGCTTTCATCTCTGAGAAATGGGGGAAAGAAGCTAGTGCCTCTGGGGTGCGAGTTTGGACACACTAAAGCACCGCCCCCCCCTGCAAACCTCTTCTGCTATTGCTAAACTTTTCCTTGTCCCACTGAATTTAATGGGATGCCATCAGCATGCAGGAGAGTCTCTGGTCTAAGATCACCCAACACTCCCAGGCCTAGATAACGCCATACTGCTGGGAGCTGCTGTGGATCAACGTGTAGCTTGTCCTTGGTAGAGTTAAGTGTTTGACTGAGGTCCCTGATGGCATGAAGGTTGTTTCAGAGACTGACTTGACACTGGGCTTTGTCTTCAAGCTCACCCTAGCAGGTACGGGGGCTGCACCCTGGTTCAGGCGTTCACTGATCCAAGAGTTGTGGCTGAGTTGACATCAGGGTCTGCCTATTATTCAGGTGGGGTTTTCTTTCCGGTCCTAAGGGAGGTAGCATGTGGAGCGTGATCTCAGCTCTTGGACTTCTAACCTGATCCACCTTTAAATGCTGCCTTTAAATACATGGGCCTTTGTACTTCTACGGCCAAAATATGCTCTAACAGGTGGGAGCCAGTGCCTCTCTTCTTGTATCCTCCGTGCCCAGTCTATGGCATTTGCTTTACTAAGGGCTGTGTGTGCACTTGCAGAAGTCTGCTTCAACAGGCCTCAACTCTGAATGTGCAGGAGATTTTGGGTGAACGCAACTGATTCCCAGGGCATTACAGAGGTATGAGGTCAATAAATACAAAGCCTCCCACAAACAAAATCCCCTCAATAGCTCACACACAGAGATGGACACTTCTAGAGCCTAAGAAAGGGCACAATGAAAAAAGATTTGTGCCTCAAAATACAAAGTGAGAGCAGCAAGGACGATCAAACCAACCTCATCTCCAGGGGAAATCGGCTTTAAATGTCTCTCTTACAGACCTCTGGAATACTTATACGTTACATGGAAGATGCAATTAAAACGCTGTTTGAAGTGTGTGCAAAGAACAGCTTCATCGCACAGTCTGCACAGGCCCATGGCAGCTCCGTGACCGTTCTCTCCGCATCCGCCGTCACTTGTTCTCTATCAGCGTTTGCACTTTGTAGACGAGGTCTCTCGCAATCTTGAGGATTTCCTGGGCATTGTGATGCTCGGCCATTTCTAGACAGGAGAACAGGCAAGCGTTCAGGATTGCCCACTAGGGGCCTTGCAGCATTTGAAAGGTGTTGCGTGCCATAAACCCCACACTAATCTCTTAGTGCTAAAGGCCCGTGGAGCCTGACCCCACCTGCTAATCCTGCTTGTCCCAGGCAAAACCCTCACAGCCAAGGGCATGGAAGGAGCAACAGGCACCGTACCCAGGGAGTCTTTGCCACCACCAAGCGCGTGCAAACTCTCACAAGGTGCCAAGACAGAGCGGGGCTGGGAAAGGTTTAAAGTCATCGGCAGTTAAGGTTGGCTTCCTGGAATATCCTAAGCCATTAGCTTTTAAAGCCTCGGAGAACTGCCCCTAATGGCTCCTCCTTTAAGAGTCCTGCAGAACCTTTGGATGCAAAGGACCTCAGCAGGCAGGCGTCCCAGCGAGGGCTAGCATTTCACCACCCGCACCCTAGGCTTGTCCACAGGGGTAACTGGTCTGCAGAGCCCACCCTCCACGCCCAGCCGGTTTTGAAATCCAAAGTGAAAAGCTGATCTGGGGAGGAAAAGAGCA